TGAAATCTCTGGGTTTATTTTGGGAATCATGTTTGTACACCTGACAATGCTACCATTATACAATCTCCTTAAAAGCATCTCTAGGCACCCCAGAGTGCTATGGCACCCTGGTTAAAAATCACTGGTACAGGGAGCCTAAGTGCCTAACTAAGGACTATGGATTCCCCTTAGTGACAAACCCCAAAGTTAGAAAAAGACACTGCATTGTCTAAGGGCCAGGCAATTGATTTCAATGAGAAGTTAGACACCTAAATTGGAATTATGTGCCTAAATATCTTTGTGGATCTAGGCCTAAGTCTTTTGCTGCTATACCTTCATGTGTTTACAAATTAATTTTGATTACATCTTACATTACAGATGTGGCTAGATGGGGTTCTATGTTTTGTCAAAGATTGTTCTGAGTTGAAATGTTATATTTAGTGTTTCTAATGGCTTACTTTTAAACATTTAGTTAGATTTACAGATCTCTCTCCATGTGCCATGGAAGTTAAATAATATGAACAAACATACACTGATACTTCTTGCATTGTACTGCAGTAGACAGAAAAGGTTGTACCTGTTGAGGACAATTCCTTCCAAAAACAATAAAAAGTAATAGCGGATGAATGGGTAACTTACGGTTCAAGTTTTCTTATTATCCCTCAAAATCAGAAGCTGAGACAAAAACAATACCTTGTTTTAATGAAAATCTTTCTCTGGTATTTTCCTATTCATCTCTTCTGTACAGACCATCTGTTCTTATAATCTGTGTATGTATATACATATTATTGTTGTTTAATAAACCGTTAATAATTTCTCCTCTATGGAATGTACTTTTGGGCATGAGATAGTTGCGTTTAATTAGAAAAAACACAAGTATTCTCATGCTACAGTTGCTGAGAAAGTGATATTTTTACCAAGTAAAGAACAGTTTTAGAGAAAAGAAACTTAAAAAAAAAAACTTTTTTCCCTTAAAGTAGACTGAATTAGTAGTTCATACCTTCAGTGATTTAGCAATATAGATCATTGCAATTTTCTGTAAGTTGACATTAAGTGATACACCCCCTGCCCCAAAGACCCTATGATCTAACTAGACAACACTGCAAATAGTACACTATACATGCATAGAACAAAGAATGTTAGAGGAAATAGAGTACAAAAAACACAAACTGATCTTGGGAACTCTTATCTCATGCATTCTTTTCTTTAGGCAGACAGTCTAATTTGATAAAGTGTCTAGAGTGACGTTTCCTGATGGGACAACTGGATTTCATGAAATAAAAGTTTGAGACTCTTTTGACTATAGAAAAAGTTAAAGCACATTCCCCAGTTTTTTAAACAGCTGGTATGAGCAGGTTAGATGAAGAGATGTTGGATTCTAATTGTTTCTTTTATCATTCTTACTGATAAAGACAGAGGTCTGTCTTAAACATGTACCAAGCCCCGCCCCCCCCCTCCCCCCAGACCCTCAAGTCTTTCATCTGGAGGGTTAAAATTCATGTGTTCCCTGACCTTGCATGTCACAGAGTAATGAAACAGCGTAAATCAGACATGTTAAAAGCTGAAGTTTGTTAATATTAGTGCTGAAGCTCCAGTCTCCTTCCTGCCTAACCTGACAGGTCCATAGGTCAAATATATATATTTATGGATTACTACAATGCAAAGGGGGGAAAAAGATCAACAGACACCCAACAAGAACCAAATGGAAACATGAGTTTAAATAGAACATGTTGGGGAAAGGAAGCCTACTTGCCTGAGTTTTAATTTATGGTTCTTTTTGCACTTCTATTAGTAGACTCCTAAGAATAAATTGGTGATTTAGCCTCCAAATGGGGAAAATTTAACAGATTTTGCATTTTTCCTGTTGCCTTCTCCTTGCTATATACTTTTTCTTTGTATTCCCACAACTTTTTTTGTTTGTTTTTTACTGAAAAGATTCACAGAGTTTCCATTCCCAGGCATTATTCTTAATTTGTTTGACATAAAAGAACATAACTTCCAGCTGAAGAACTCATTATTTCTTGATACTTTGCCTTTTAAACTGAGGATTTCACTGGATCAGACACTGCTATTGCTTTAAGACATTTGCGTTTGTATTCTGCATTACTAGGATATCTATACAGCTTTTCATACGTGCCTATTACTGGCAGTGAAATGCCTTTCAAGTATAAAATGAGGTACTGGTAATAGGTAAGAATAACTTCAGTTTTACCTGTTTATTTTTAATGTCACTTTCTATGCTAGAATGGTTAAAATGTACCCCATGCCCTTACTGCACAGTACAGAAGACATCCTCAACTGGAGTAAATCAGCATAGCTCCACTGAAGTCAATGATATCTCAATAATTTATACAGGCTAAACATAAGAAGAGCGACTACTTAACATGCCAGAAACACCCCAGGTGCTTTTGGCAAAGTTGATATGAAATAAACACATCAGAGATTTCTGCAGTGGGACAGGAGATTCCTGTTTCTTGCCCAACCATACCTTTTCCCTCTTTATTGAAGTACCACCCAGGGGATTTCACTAAGCAAGGTGAAGCAAGGCATTAAAACACAAAAATGAACCCTTCCTATTAAAGTAACAGTCCTGGAGGTACAGGACTGGCAATGCAAACACTTCTTCAGATGGACAGTTGGATGCCATTATAGAAAGTGGGACAGCCTTTCCCTCACTTCCGTAAAACTAACGGGGACTCAAACAGGGACACCTTGTCAGACTAACCCTGAAACGCAAAGGAGGACTGTTATTCAGCTATGCCACGGCCAGGACAATGCAGCATGTTCAATGGACAGAATGAATTATCTGAAATACTGGACATTACTATAAAAGAGAATAAAGGTATAGGCCAGAACCCCACAGACTGAATAGCCTGTTGCATGAAAGTGTCACTAATTCACAGGTGCATACAGAAACACAGGTCAACTTACTGTCTTGCTTAAACTGAAAAGATAAAAGATGGTACCAAAAATGCACATGCTCCTCAGCTGCAAGAGAGCTTAATTACATCAAAGATTCTGGAAACAATGGGGATAGGTAATAAATACTATGCATTCCTTGATATAAACAACTAAACTATAAATCTTGGAAAAGGAATTTGTTGATAGTCTCCTCTAACTCCCACGAACATCACAGAAGGAAACCCGGCCAGCAGAAAGAATTTCAGCCATGGACTTTCACCAATGGAAGCCCGCTGGGTGCTGTTCCCTGCACAGGCTTGGGGAACAGTTGGGTCCAGTGGGTGCCACCTGCGAGCTGGGGCAGCACCCATGGACCTAGTACCCTGCCCAGGTAGCCCTGGGGGGCACTGCCACCACAAAGGGAAGAACTGCCCCCCTCCCCCCCACCTCCAGTCAGGGGTTGTGCAGCCCAGTGGCAGCTTGTGCGGGCAGGCTCTGCTGGAAAAAAAAAGGGGGGGGGAAACTGTGAGGGGCTGGATTCTTCCCCCCCCCCCGGAGCCTGCCCACTTCTCTTGCAGCCAGGGAGCAAGCTGCCAACAGGCCCTGAGCTGCAGGGGGCCCCAGTCCTTCCCTCTGAGGTGCTAGTAGGCGGCTGCTTCCCCAGCTCACAGGCAGGACCCGGCCCGATCCAACTGTTCCCCCAGGCCAAGCTGGGGCATCACCTGCCCGTTAGCAGCCCACCTGGGTGGCCCCACCACCATGGAAAGAAGGACCAGCCCCAGCCCCACCACACACACACAGCTCAGCTCACCAGCAGCGGAAGACATGAGCAGTCTCCACTAAAAAAAAAAAAAAGGATATCATAACAGTGATGGAAGCCCCTAAATTGAAACAGTGGGTTTTTAATCATCACAATTAAAAACTCACTATTTCAGTTTAGGACTAACCCCCCATCACGTGTACAAGCACCCATGGAGTTTTACATGTCGTAACAGAGGGGAGGGCAAGAGGAGAACCTTGCAAGTGGTGCACTGGAGAAATTGGATATGATGCCTCAAGAACACAAGTGTCTCAGGTTAGAGTCTATAGAGTGATCTCTGTATGAACTAGTGTCTCAGGGACCAGTTGTCTGTCTTACAAAGATACTAATCGCAATGTGATTTTTGTAAGTAGTCTCAGCAGAGAAATTAAAGAGCGAGTAAAAACAAGCTATCTTTTCATCCTTCCAGAAGACCCCCCCAGAACAAATTTAACACATCTAGTTAAATAATTGCAGCAAAATCTTCACTGCCCCATAATACTGATTTTGTCTTTCACAAAACATACAAACACCACATTGAAAGTTAATCAAAGCCCAAAAGTTACAAGTAGAGGCATGTCTCAGTTCAATTACCATCTGAAAGTCAGAGATAAAATGATAATTAGGATTTTAACAACAAATTTAACTCCTAGAAAATGGTACTCAGGTTTTGAAGCCTGGAAAACTGATCTGGAGCAAGTGCTAGTCTGCGCTGCAATGAGTACTGTACAGATTGGTGCTGGTGGAACTCGTGGGGCAAGTCTAAACACTGGTTTTGACATGGCACTTATGAACCCTTCCAAATAGTTTTGCTTAGACCTGATCCTATGACTTGGTCAGGCACCTTCTTTCTACCGTATTTCCTGCTTCAAGCGCACGGGCACAAAGATGCACATATATTCCTTTACACTTGTGCACAAACTATTAAACAGGCTGAAGGAATTCCCAGAACACTTATCTTGCTATTGATATTCTTTCCCCAACCTAACCAGAGAAAGGAAGAACAAATGAGAATATCTGGTTTATGCCCAAAACTGGATCTTTAGTACTGTAATAAAGAATTCTAATGTTATCTCCACATATGAATTATGGCTGTATATCCTAAAACCTATTTTAGTCATATTATTTATCTTCTCAGACTTCATTTTACTGTATTATACTATTATAAAGTAATGTTAAAAAGTGGCAATAATACTAAAAGATAATGTTTATATTACTTACTGATTAAAAAAACAACCATAAATTCTGGAACATGAATGAAAACACTGGAACTTTGCATAAATTCTAATTGAGATAGCAATCTTGAAGCTATAATACTCACTTGAATAATGGAGTTCCACAGACAACACACTTGTATATCCCGTGAGCTTTATGATGTGTATATTCTCCTTCAAAGGCACTGGGAAAACAGTGAGATTATATTTTAAAAAATGAATAAAGGAATATTATTCGCAATGTTAAATCTGCTAAGACTTTAGAATGTATTTTCTATGGTGAAAAAACAATTCAGAAGTTAACAACTGTTGTTTAATATGGAGCACGTAAAGCAGTCAGAGGAAAAAAAAAAAGGTCTATAAATTTGCCTTACCTTCCTATCATGCATGAAGCAGCAAAGATCAGAGTACAACAAACAATTCCCACTTACTATTTTTAGGAAGTTTTCAAATATTTTTAATTTCTTTTAAATAAAGACTGTTAGAAATTCCGTTTATTCTTAAGCATTTCACTGGTTTTATTCTTCAACAAACCTTTTTTATAGAGAGCTCAAATGCTAAGCAACAAATAAGGCAAAACGTGCTTCTTTAGTGGCTTGACGATACTATCCATTCATTAGTGTAGGATGGGCTGCCAGCATGTTAGAGTACCAGAAGCATTTTAGCCAAAAATGAAACAATTGGTCCATGATTTCAAGCTGTGTGACCCTTATATTTTTAGTTGAAAAGGAATATTACAGCTTTCAGGGAATATTTTTCTAAGTTAACAATCTTAAGGGCTAGGAGGTCATTCATCTAATACAAATCAGCTGTGCTAGTCCAACAAAAACTCTGTGTGCTCGGCAGCTTGTTTTTATTATCCTTTCACCCTTTTTATGAGGTCCAATTTTTTTTATATATATAAACAGGATTTTTAAGAATGACCTAATCTCCGATTGTTTGTGTGCATTAAATCATTCTCCTAATCTTGTACACAACTCTAAGTGATCTGGGTGAAGGAAGGCTTCATGAGTGGAGGCTTCCCTCCCAGTGCCAGCTCATTTGTCGGGGGTTTTGTGCCAGTGATTCCCATTTAGTCAATTCAGTATACAGTACACTTTGATGGGAAGAGTGTTGCCTATTAACTAGGACCCCATGTGCACTAAAGAACTCTTTCAGGTCATTCATGAATCAAAACAAGCAGTTATATCATTAATATATTTGGATCACAGGTAAGCCAAGGCCTCATGCCAAGCTCAAATGGTATAAATTAGACAACAAAAATGGTTAGACCATGGCAAGTTACCTTCCTGCTGGAATCAGCTGAGAGAGACTTTATTCACTAAAAGCAGTCTTGGAAGTGAGCACTTTTTTTTCCCCTCCTCCAGGATTTAAGGCCAACTTCCAAGGACTAAAGCCATGTGAGGGCAGTTATTGAAAATTTTTGACATTCCAACCACAAATGAGCCAATAAATACCTTCTCCACATGTGCTTCAAAAAGAAATTGGAGTGGGGTGGAAAGGAACTAAATTATGCTACCTTCTTTTTGCAGCCAAAATGTCTATACTTACAATGACCACCTTCAAAATTTCAGCCTCTTGGCACAGGGCCATTTCCCTCGTGGTTCTGCTTACTGTGATGTCTTCCAAAAATTGTACCTAAACCGCTATTACTTCTACACATTTTGTATTAAACTAAAAACAGACCCTAAACGTAAACCCCATGATTTTATAAGACATGCGGTGTTCATTAGAAAAAAATGAATCACAAAAAACCCTCGGGCTTTACCTCCACATTGCAGATTCCTGTCTTTCCAGTGGTGTTAATTTGTAGGAGTTAGTAAGCAAGTGCAGAAATCCTGAAAACAGTTTGTGGGGAAGATGAGGAAACAGGACCAAAAACAGAAAAGCAAGGAAAGGGAAGATGAATATTTCTTAATGATAGTACTTCCTTCATTCTTGCCTTACCTTTCAGTCCCTTTCTCCTGAGTGACATGGTACTGCAAGGGTGTCAGACGCTTCCTCAGGTCCTGCTGGGAAAAGACCACCTTACAGTCCTTTTTATCCCTACATGACCCTGCAAAAAGGAGAGGATATGGGAGAAGGAGCCTTTTTAACTTAAATCCTGAATAACTGCTTTGGCTGACAGCCACAAAATAGCTTCTGCATTCACTTGTCAATGACCAGACCGGTCCCTAATGCACTCAGAATGGCTCAGCTGAACTGCAGCTGATTATTTCTTCAAATCCAAGTTTAACAAGAATGTTGCTCAAGAGCCAGGTGATTCCACTGGAGCAGTGACAATGTGCTACAGCCAAAGCCTTCTGTGTACCATGTTACACTTTTGCACACAATCATTCATGAGAAGGTAATAATTTTCTACCACTAAAAAAAAAGAAAAAGAAAAGAAATCTGCAAAAAAAAAAAAAAAAAATAGTCCAAACAACTTTACAAGACATCTATATTGTAGACATAAGGTAATGGGCATATGATGTTTAACCAAAATTCAGCATCCAATTATTTTGCAGTCATTTTAAATATTGTCAATTATTTTACTTTACCGTAGTGGTTGATTTGATCACCATCACCACATATAATTTTACTTCATACAAACAAGTATAATTTGTCACTAAAGAATCCTCCTCATAGCCTGTCTAGTTAGATCAATCAGAATACAAGCTTTAATTGTGAAGTCACTTCACCATTTTAAGAAATGTACAGGACTCAGAAGTCAAGTCATCCTAAAAACAAGGGACAGGATTTTTCTATGATGTCTAACTCCTTTCTGAACCTTTGGAAATCTTTAACTAAGACTTTTATTAGTTCTACACATACAAGGAAATTGAAGTGGTACCTATGCATCATTGTGAAAACACTGTTATAATGCAAAAAATCTGAAATTACACCAGGAAAAAAAAAAGTTACAAAAAAATTTTTTTGAGAAAGGAAACACTTGATTTCTTTTTAGTAACTAATACTGGCTGCTTTGGTGAATGGAAACCAAAAAATCTCACATTAGTACAAGGGTATTTAATAACCATTTGAAAATTTAGCTGACAAAATACTTCAGGTAAAAACACTTCAATTACTGAAGTAGTTATACTACATACAATTAGAAATAATCCTGACTAAAATATTTTTGCTAGTAATATATATACACTCATAAAGAAACCAATTGTGTTCCTAAGTAGAGGGAACAAAACTACCCATCTGTATGTCATTTAGTACAAGAAAAGCAACGGCAGGTTTAAATTACATGGTATTGAATTGCAATTTCCTAACATTGGATGCTTTTCTGCTTTTTTACCTTGAGTCATTACTAAGGAGTGTTCATAAAAAGTACCTTAAAGCACAGATGCTTGCAAATCATTTAAGCAAAGATGTTTCTTTTTTTCCTTCTCCCTCTTTATTCTCACTCTTTTTTATTGGGAGGGGGGAGAGGGAGGTTAAGAAAAAAAATAATACTGTTGGTCACTACTGACTAACCCTGTCAAGTATTTTCAGAGAGAAAAAGTAAAACTGAAAACATCTGATTGAAGTAAATAATGCAAACATGAAAAGCTTTACTAGTGAATGAAAAGTATGGAAAAGAGACTTTATTTCACAGATTATTAGAAATTACTTTTGATCTAAACATTCTTAAAAACAGATTGTTTTCCACTAGGAGCCATCTCATTAACTGTGCTGCAGAGCCCTCATTTTAATGGCAAGTTTTGAAAGAGCACTGCTGTATGCCTTTGTTAGCTCCAATCTTATTTGGGAGGTGGATAAAGATTTCATTCCAGGTTTCTTTGTTTGTCTTTCAAGAACCACTAAAGCAGTATTCACACAAATTTTGCAGGAATGTGCCCTATGCCATAGCTTACAAATTATTTGGTTTTGGTGCACTTAAAGGTCACCTTCCAAATTAACAAAATTTTCCTACATCCTGACTTTTCAACCTTAGATGTAAATATTGTTTCCTAACTGTAAGTGAGGTTTGCTCTTTATAACATTCAGTTGCTTATTTAAAGATGTCAAACTTTGGAGGTTTTGGGGGGTTTTTTTATTCTTGGGGTATGCTGGGTTCTCATACTAAAAAAAGAACTTTCAAAGTGTAGCTAGCAGCAAAGGGAAGTGTATACATTATATAAATAACAATTGTAATGTTGCATTATGCAACTCGATAAGAAAATGTCTGAAAAAAAAAATCAATTCCTCAGCTCATACTGGCACCATGAATCTTATGCACAATCCTCCCTTACTAAAAACTCAGATTATTTTGGCTTTCAAAACTTTTTCTTATTCCTTAATATCAGCTGGAAAATCCTTAGCATGCCTCAGCTTTGAAAAATTACAGAAATTTAAAGAAAAAAAATCTCTCTCAAACACTTCCAGTAATTCTCTGAATAGTTACCCTTTTAGTATTTTAGAATAGCAACATTAGTTGCCGGCTAAAATTCACTACTATATACAAGTATACACAAGGAAATTTCCATTTTACCACGTGTCATTTGATCTATGTCCTTACAATCAGAAGTAGGAAGTATGTTATTAAAGATTTTTCCCCATTGTTTTTATAGTTCACTGCTTGTTTTACAAGACATACAAGTATGCATGTGTACAGTGAAATCTTGCTAATCTGCACTTGGGTAAACTGCAAACCTACACCGAAAGAAGATTTTTTTAGGTTTGTATGTTACCAGAGCAGAGGCCAGCAGACTTTTCAACCTGTGCTGCAAACTGAGGAGGGAATTTCATCATCTTCAAGCCAAGGCACCCATAAGTAGGGCTGACACATTATTTAAATGTTAATGGAAAACCAATAGACCAATAAATTGACTGAACCCATTTCATGTTTCTCAATGGAAGATAAGGAATGGGGAGGAGGGAATGTGGGGCTTATCCACTGATTTCAGACAGCTTGACATTACCTACATCCTACTCACACCTTATACTTAGAGTCTGAAAACCTAACTGCTCTGCAGTTGCTCCTCCCCACTGAAGTAAACCAGGGGTTCTAGTGGTTACAATTCTCTATTAAGATCCCCGTTTAGAAAAGCAGACCTTCACAGGCAAGCACAAACACATGGATAAACTTTAAACATGCGCTTACGTGCTTTTCCTGTACTAGACCTTATATTGTAATATTGCACAAGGTCAGATCAGCAATCTACATGCAAGATATAAAATAAAGATATTGTAGCTCTGCATAATTTATTACTGACTCTCTTATTCAATTTGTGAAAAAATCATGCCTCTTTCTCCTTCATATGGATAGCCCCATAGGTAGGGACAGAAATTACACACAAACTGGTATAAGTGATGAGAAACCAGTTCAAATTTGTAACAACAGCAGTTCAGTGAACATAAACCACTTTCAAAATGGCTGAAACTGGACATAGTATCAGACTTAACTGATCAAGAATAAATTGGTTTATTGAATTTCTATCCCCAATCCCCTCCCAATTCAAGTCAACTCATAGTCCCCCAGCATCCCAGGATGCATTGTACCTCCTCAGCAAACCACTCCTGGTTGGGCAGGCTAGCCTTGGCCCACGTTCTAGCACTCCCTGGCTTCTGGCCTGGGCCTCTGTAGGCCTGCGGTTGCATTTCCAGAATCAAAAGTGAATGTCTGTTCACTTGCTTATTGATTCAGCCTCAGACTTTTTGACTGTCTGTACTTAGACACTGCAATTGCAGATAATAGGGGCTATTGCTTTGTCAGACAAATACCTTGGAGGGAAGGAGAGCAAAAACAGAAAATGCAACAGAAGGAAGATAAAGATGCAAAACAGTTATATATGGTTTCATTTATTGAGTGATCATTTGCAAGTAATGATCCAACTATTACATCATATCAGAGCAAATAAAAGCTACCACTAGCAAAGAATCAGGGTGTGGCCCAAGTACTTTAATGTCCATAAAGAACACAAAATTAACCTATTTATCAACCCAAATCTATGTTCTTGTCTTAGTTCTCCCAACAAAGGATCAATGATGGGCTTGAAGCTGTAGTCAAATACAGTCAATATGACTTTGATGAGCTTCTTAGCCATCTTGGACATCTTTACACATGCTCCAGGATGGTGGGGGGAGGGGAAGGTGCTTTAATTAAGAGTGGCTCTGGGGAGCCGCTCTAATTAAAGTACCCTCAGCATACTCAGCGTTCCTGCACTT